ACACGTCAGTTACTGTGTTAGAAGACGGATGAATCTGAAGATTGGCTATCTCTATTCAGTGTACTTCGTAGTATTTTCCATGACTTTCTCTGGTTTAACAGTAAAGTTTAATATCCAGCCCTGCAGCATTTTAATTACCCCGAGTACCGAATTCTTGATTATGTTACTTTTTCTGCCCCCTCTTGATGTTTCTGCTCAAATTTAATTGGGAAAGGGATCCATTATTTTATCTCTGTGATAACCATAATATGCTATCTTCAGTTCTTCATTGCAATTAAGCCAACCTAACCATTTCTTATCCTTTAAACAAAAAAATTGGGACATTAGTAATTAAATCATGGTGGTGGTGGTGGAGTAAAAAAAGTTATTTTCGTAAGTATGTTTTTGAGTATATAATAAACTTAACAAAAATTCTAAGCAACAGGCCTAGTATCAAAGTGAGGAACCTGTGGCCTTCAAATGCTAATGTGCAGATACCAGGTGCTTCCCCAATCCTGATTTAATTTTATTAGCCCCAATAATTATCGTCACATCCTGGCATGGAGGAGGAGGAAAAGGAATAAATATTTCCATTTTGCCTGTAGCAAACCATCTGATCTCTAAACTGTGCAAACGTTGACTGTAGGTATTCAAACCATAATTTGAAGTAAGTTTATTTCTTCACACTTGATCAGATCAGTCAGTCTGAAATAGACATTAAAATTTCTGTACTTTTGTGGCCACACCAGAGGAATGATAAGTGAGATATATAAGTCAGAAAGAGGTTAAGTTCACTGTTGCAATGCTGAATCACTTCTGAGTGGAACTTTTGCGTTCAATAGAATTTGATCCTCAGTCTCTCTAGGCTTAATAACCAAATCCATTTGTCAGGAACCTGGGTGTAAATTTATCTGGCACAGTTTGCCAGTCGGTGATTATGTATTTAGCAAGATATTTCAAATTCAAAGTGTCTAAGCTAAAGTGCCTCATTTTGAATTGAAAACAGTTGCTTTGAGAGCCAGTTTGGTGTAGTGACTATGATGCTGATCTAGAAACCAGAAGCCTATGAATTCATGCTCTTTGGTGTGAAAATCAGTTGGGTGAATCTAAGCAATTTTCTCTTAGGCTTACACCTCACAGGTGTGTTGTTGTCAGGAAAATAGGAGGCAGGACAATTAGCATTTTTAGGCAGCCCTGAACTGACCAAAATTAAATGTGAGATAACAAAAGCTAATAATGAATGAATTTAAAAAAAACACTTTCATAATCCAATCAGCTGTTTTATCATGTTTCTTGAGTTCAGAATTTCTAATTGATAGGACAGCCCATTTTAAATTGTGGAAAACCAGGCAATACGACTTTGAAACAATTGCAGTTTGAAAAGTTTTGTCTGCCACCCCTCGAATTCATTTTTGAAATGAGACCTGAAAGAGAGAAACAGAGATTTAATGTAATTCATTCAACCTTAATAAATAAGAAATGATTTAGTTCGTTCTTGTAAAGGAAATGTAGCCTATCCTTAAAGCCTCCGTTAATTATCATGATTTCTGAAATTGACAACTGTGGACTATGCAACACTACAAAATTCATTTGGAGTGTGCAAAGGCTTACTGTTTATACCCATTTTCTGCAACGTTCCTATAACAATATTTTTCAAACTTAGCAACTTTAAGACAACTGCATGCTGTCTGGGGAATTATTGGAGTTGAAGTTAAAGTTACAGAGTTTGAAAAAACACTGATCTCGTGGTGATGGAATACTTCTCTCCTAATTGCACAAACTAACTGGATGTTTGTTTGTTTTTAATTTTCTCAGTAAACATTTTCCTTATCAGTTTTCAGTTGCTATGGCTGTAACAACTCCTTTCCAAAAGTGTGGTACTTGTAAGTTCCATAGTGCAATTGCCACTCACACTTTGGGTTTTGTTTTTGATGAGCACAGGACTTACCGGTATTGGCAGGCCTTCTTAAATAATTCCTCTCAACAGTATTGCCATGCCTTCAAATGTTACCCAATAAACATCTCTCCCAAGGTGTGAATGACTTCCAATCAGGCTACCATCAAATGTGTCAGCTAAACACAGTCCCCACTACTACTATAAAGTGTCTGTAACATTTGGGGGCTTCAGCATCATTACCTGGCTTTGGTCATGTCCACATTCCATGGCCAAAGATACCTAAATAATCACATCTAAGGGACATGTGCTCCAGATGTAACTTCTGTCTCATCCCCAACCTTCTACCGAGGCATTTTATGCATGCCTTCATGTCCTGCTAGCATTCCGTGAAGGCCCTCCATTATCTGTTTTTAGAGGACATGGCCTTCTGATGCAGGCATTATTGAACTTCTAGTCCACTGCAGTGTTTTTTCTTAAATACATGCTTGCTATAATTGATGGGGCTCAGTCTGCAACAGTGGCAATCCAACCAATTCTGCAGATGGAACTGGCAGCTGGAACAGCAGCAGTTTTTAACCTATGTATGACAGCCAAGGTATCCTGTTAGACAGTTGTTTCTATTAGTAATTCTATCCATATCATTTTGTCACCATTCCCTCCCATGGATCAGAAGGCATCCTCGATTCTGTACTAAAGAGGGTTGCTATTCCAAGACTATGTTGACTCCTACACATATGGGTCACTTTCACTATGAGTATATGAGTCCTATTATCCTTATATCACCATCAAGGTATCACATCATTTCTTTATTTCTTATCCAGGGTCTAGATGTGGACCTTGTGCATCATTTTGTGAAGTATATGACTTCAACTACCTGGTTATGCTTTGAGCTGACCAGGAGCTACAACTAGTAGCTTTGCAAGGTTATTCTACAAGATAAGTGGCTTTAGTTTTTAGAAGATTAACAACCAGCAACTACTGAAGTCCAAAAACAGATTTCTCTTTCTACAGTGATCATTTTTACCAAGACCATAAGGGTTTCCTATACTTCTAATTTAATGGAGCCATTAGGACAGAAAGTTACTTTTCATCTAAAGTAATTCTATTGGCAACATCAGCAAAATATTATCAGCATTCTTTCTGATAAAAGAAATGTATATGTGGATAATTTATGCCCCAGTTGGAAAAACTAAGGGAACTACAATTCCCAGCATCCCTCACTACTATCTGGTTCTACTATAATAGAAACATTTGAAGAGTTGCTGTTTCCCATCCATTTATGCAGTAAATTCATTCATATGCTGATGTTCATCAAGAAATGTTTGTCATATCTGAATCACAACCCTGATTTGAATCTTAATGAACTATTTAATGCGTCTTTGTAGACCTGTATTTCTGTCCGGAGTCACAGATCTGGATGAGATTAATTCATTAATTGGATCATGGCAAAGATATCCCCTTGACTGCAGAAATGTTTTAAAAACAGAAGCTGAAAGTACAGTCTATTTATAATCATAAGCATCTTAAAGTGGTACTCAACTATTTCTCCAAGTGATAGAGTTGATGTGACTTCTGTTTCTTTGAAATGGTATAATTCTATTTGTTTAAAGTACACAAGCAGAGAATAGTGTAGGAAAATAGATCTCCTGTGTCTAATTTTTAGCAAGTAGCATTTATAGTCCTCTTTCCCCAAAGCCCTAAACCTATTTTTGTGTAGTTAAATTTTTCAGCATTTTGCATAGTAATTCACACTCCATTGTCTTTGTGGCAGAAAGCTCTCTCAAACTGTATTTTGTCCGTATGTAATTATAGAGATGATATTCATTTATTTCTATTCTTATACACTGCCTTTCAGGAACCAGCCCTCTTGAGATGACTCACAATATTTGAAAAACATAAGCAGTCATTATAACATATTGTGAAGTGTAAAACCATAATTTATAAAACATAAAAAACATAACAGCAGCCATTAAGCAATATAAAAGAGAACAAGCAGCAAAGCATAAACATTTCAAACAGCAGCAATTAAATTCAGAACAACTTAAATGCCAATTAAAAGAAAGTTGGGACAAAGAGCCTTCAGGGGCCTAGAAATATAATTCTATTTTAGAAGGATATTTCACAAGCTTAGAAAGGCACACCTCTAATTGCCCACCTTGTCTAATGCCCTACAACAGGGCTTTTATCCAGTGGTATGGGTACCACCTGTGGTACATTGGCACCTGACAGGTGGTACGCGACCATCCTAGAAAAGTGGTAGCGGGGGAGGAGAATGAGAGCACCGCCAGGCGGGCAGGCAGGTGTCTTGTTCAGCTGTGCCTTGGGGGCACTTTTTCCAGTGCCATTGTAACTTTGAACAGTCACTAAGCGAACTGTTGTAAGTTGAGGACTACCTGTACTTTATCACTTTTTTCCTTTTTTTTTTTTTTTGACCATCAAGTTTTTGACACCTTGCTAGGCGACTGGTGGTACTTGGATATTGCCATATCCTAAAAGTGGTACAATGGGTGAAAAGGTTGAAAAGCCCTGCCCTACAAGCAAGGCCTTAAAGCCAGTCTTAGCACCACAACAAAATTTTTGATCCTAAATCTTTGAAATATGCAGCTTATGTTGTATCTCATCCCATAACTATGAGATGCATTCTGTAGAATGGGAGCTTTCAAATGTCTTTCAAAGATAGACAGCCACAGAGCACATTATTGCAAAGAACTAGTCCTGACGTAACTAGACTTTACACGGGGCAGTCGTATAAAGGCATGTTAGCAAGAGAAGAGTGGAAAACTAGTTTAATATGGCAGATAAAGGCATCAGGGCTAGAAACTGGGGAACCATGCATTCTATTCCTGCCTTAGACATAAGGCCAACTGGGTAAGTTTGGGTAGGTGGCTCTCAGGAAGATAGAAGAAAGAAATGGTAAGCCATTTCCGAAAATGTTGGCAAGAAAATCACAGTGACCTCTCCAGGCAATCCCCAGAAGACAAGATTGACCTGAAGGCATAAAATTAAGATATAAATTAGCTAGGGAAGAGGGCATCCATGAAAGTGAAAGGGACAAGATTAGAAAATGTTGCAATAATTCAATGTATTGTTATTTGATTTTAGCCTTCTGGGTTTGTTTTTGCAGGTTCCTGGAGAGAAAGTTGTTGGTAAGAACATGACAGTAATAGTGGAGTTCCCCAACCCATTGAAGCAAAATCTCACCAATGTCTGGGTCCGACTTGATGGCCCTGGTGTGCTAAAACCAGTCTCAAAATTATTCAGGTAAGGTAAGGCCTATTATGGCATAGTTTTCTGGGTATTCATAACAAAATGAACACTAAACGTGCCATCATATTTGAGCAATGCCAGCTTCTCTCTTGAGGGCATGAAATCAATCTTCTCCAACCATTTGTCCTTTGGGTGTGTCAGGATTATAACTCCCAGGAACTGCAGCTAGCAAGGTTCGGCTAACTGGGAATTTAGGAGATGATTACCTCCAAATATCTCTGAATTAGAGGAATTGATCTAAATAATTATAAAACTGTATTTCTTCCCCAGGCATCAGTGACAGCAAGATACTATATCCAAATAATGAACAAGATAACTTAATGTTACAGTAATATGTTACTGGAATAGTTTAGCAGCTAAATTATGAAAATGTAATCCAGCAAGACTCATTTAAAATGCCACTTATTTTAAGAAAACATGAAATAAGATAGCATTTCTCTGCCTCATCCTCATTATCATTAATGGTCCATCTGATATTGATGACAGTAATAAAACACTTTACAAAGCTGTGGCATTCTTATAATGTAACTCAAATTCCTTAAACCAGGGGTCCCCAACCCCTGATCCGTGGCATGCCAGCAACCGGGCCGCACAAACAAGCAAAGCCCTATCCATGGGATGCAGGCAGCACACAAAACCACACACTCTCCGGTCCATGGAAAAACCTTTCTCCACGGAATCGGTTCCTGGTAGCCAAAAGGTTGGGGATCTCTGCCTTAAACAATAAAAAATTCCTATATAAATTCTCATGATAGTTCTATATGAGTCAATCTGAAAACAATTCCAGGTCAACATGTGTTTGGTGATCTGACTGATTTAATTCAGGTTCAGCTACGTTGTAGCTGAAACCAGTGCAAAGTTCTTCTCTTCTTTTCTCTTCTCTTCTCTTCTCTTCTCTTCCCTTTCCAGTGATTTCATTTACTTATTGTAGGGAAAGCCTCCCTCACCTTTCTTCCCAATTCCTCTACTTCAGATCCCACAAAGGGAATGCTCTCCCTCAATAGGCCATAGGAAAAAAGGAGGGGTGGCCATTGAAAAGCATTTCTTTCTTTCTTTCTTTCTTTCTTTCTTTCTTTCCTTCTTTCTTTCTTTCACAACAAGAACTGGATTTTTTAAAGTAACCGTTTTAAAAAAAAGACAGATTACCGACACTGCCTTAATATACAGATTGAACCTGCTTGTTAATAGTGAAGATTTGCTGAGTTTTGAGTAGGGAGAGAATGAATTTCACTTAAGGCTCAAACTTCATCACAAGGAAAATTCTCTTTTAATAATTATCTGGAGGCTAAATAATCCAATAAATCTTTTTTTTTCAGTAATAATCGTAACATAATATTTTAATCTGGTTCTGTTATTTTTAAATTGTTTTAAATATCTTACTGATTTTTTTTCAGTTTTTTGCCGCCATTTTTATATTTATTTTTTTATAATGATATCAAAAGAATGATTTTAAGAATACGATCAAGAGCAAGGAATCTGCAATATTCTAAATCAGGGGTCCCCAACATTGGCAACTTTAAGAACTGTGGACTTCAACTCCCAGAATTCTGGGAGTTGAAGTCCACAAGTCAAAATTGCCAGGGTTGGGGATCCCTGACCTAGATATTGCTGAACAGCAATTTCCAGTATCTTATATCATTGTCAATATTATTTGAAGCTGTTGAAGCTGTAATTTAGCAGTCACTTGTGAGCCATAGGTTTCCTGTTCTTGTGTTAAATTATGGAACTATTTCCATATGTGTTGTAAATGTTAATACAAGTACTGAATTGCATTTTCATTTGGCATGATTGTGGTACGTTAAAGTAATAGAAAATAAACCATCACAGATTGTTTAAATATTCATCCCATTTTCCTCATTATATTGAAGATGATAAATGACCAGTCCACTTTGATGGCTCAACACATTACCAAGAATCATCCATCACCACATTACTCCAACACAATTGAATTAGTTTGGTTTTATTCCATTAGCAAAAAATTAATACTTTTTTCCCTCTGGGATGCATTCCAGTTTTGTTTTTTACTTATTTCTGAACAAGTTCTTTTGGAAATGCCACGTCCAGTCTTCTAGATTGCATTATTTTTTCCTTGACAAAATTATATGCAAGGGGTTATTTTAAGCCAGCAAGATTTATACAAAAATCTATGTTCTACTACAATGCAGTCACCAGCTTTAACGAGCATTCAGGGTTTTGTTTTGTTCATGATGCTATAGAGTCAAGGCTTAAGTGGAAACAATTCTGAAACTGCTTGTTATTAAATTAAAGCTTAAAGATCTAAAAGCCAAACCACATGCTAAGCAGATCCATGAATACCCAGTACCACATTCCATATGTATTTTTTTCATTAAGAGTCTTGGATTTAAATGGGGACACAGCACTGGAGTAACCTCTAATGCCACCATTTTGATTTAAATAATAATTTGCCCAAGGTAGGGAAAAAAACAGACAAGTGAAGACAAATATATACAGTGTGAAGTCAGATCTATATCTGGAAAAAAAAGTGAGCAAATTTTATTTTTTAAAACAAAGCTCTATCTAATACTACAGTCCCTGATGTAAATCCATCCATTCTTCTTATAACTACCTTGTAAGTTAAATAAGCAGAAGATCTCATTCATAAGTTGTCTCAGAAAAGAGTGATGACTGTGCATTTCCTGAAATTGTCAAGATGAATGTACTTTTGTTTTTAGGCTTTAAAACAACCCCAATAATAATAATCCTTCAAATTACAACCTCTTTTTTCTACTACCAAGATGCTGATTTATATATTAGATTTATAAACCATGTCAAACTATGTTTGCATTATTGTTTTTCACTGTAGAGAGATTCCAAAGAATTCAACCTTGATCTGGGAAGATAAATATGTTCCAAAGCAGCATGGCTTACGAAAGTTGATTTCAAGCTTGAATTGTGATGCCTTACGACATGTCTATGGCGAGCTGGACATCAATATTCAGAGTGCTGAGTAAAGATCTTTCTTGCTTTCCTTTTCTGTTCAATGATTTCCACATTTCATTACAGGAAAGTATAAGAAAGAATTGTATTTTCAAATGCCTTAATCCAAAAGTTGCCAAACATACATTCTGCACATATGCTTACTATTTTTTTTTCAGTTTATTTTCAGAGGTTTTTTTCCCTTCAAAACGATGAAAGATCAAGTTCATCTAAACATATACACACATATGCAAATATCCACACATTCATTTGTATTTTGCCTTTCCTCAAAGTTAATTACACGAGGTACATAATCCCCACTTTTGTCACAAACAACACTGTAAAATCTGTTAAACTAAGGGATTGTGATTGGACACTAAGCCTTGCACTCGTGAGATTTGGATTGAGAATAAGATAGATGGCCCAGAAGCAATTTTAAGAAGCAAGTCTCCTACTTCCTGATACAACACTCTTTATACCACCATACCAAATTACACACCAACCTTACAAGTTTACTTACACTGATTTTCTTTGCCCATAAACTTCTTTGCTGAGGTTTAGCACTGGACTGATTCTTCTTTCATCCCAAACTAACATAAGCATCACTAAAAGAGAATAACTGAGCACCAATAAAAACAGAATTATTTCAAACAGAACATTACTCAATATGAATTAGTTCAAGTGATAATGTTCCCAGCTAATAATAAGAATGTATGATGTTGCATATTAAAATCAGGTCAATTTTAAAATATTTCGGCTTCTGGCGCCTGCTGAATGTTAGTATTAATTAAAATTCGATATTCCATGGATATTTTTAAAGATAAAAAAATCAGGACAATAAAATGTTCTCTTTGTTGTCTTTATTCCCAACAAGCTTAGATGTATGCAAGTAAGAGTTGGACTCTGAAAACATAGGTTGAATTTTTATCTTCCCCCCCCCCACCCCACACACAGCTTTCATGATAATTAGACTCTTACCAGCAGTTTGGGCACTGTTGAGGTTCCGATGTGTAAAAGTCTCCTTGATTTTAATGGGGAAGAGTTAAAGAAGTCATGAGATTTACTTTAGCACTTCTGTTAGCACGTCATATATCCAGAGGGCATCTCTGAGAATAGAAGCACAGATGTAAAGTGAAGTGGGTGAAATCAAAATCTGCAAAAGCTCTATGCCCCTTTTGAATGGACATGCAGCCTCAAACAGACTGGATTTTGAACCTACTGCTTAGATACATTCCTTTAAGTGGATTACCATCAATTTCAGTTACAAATATTAATATGATTGGTCTATCAGGGTAACCAAAATATTCTGACTTAGGTGATATCTAATTGTGGCTCACTGTTGCCCTTAAATGAATACAGATTGTGAGCTGGGTTTGCTAGAATATCAGCAGAGGCATCTAGGGTGATATATAAGATAATATATAAAAAAAAACTCACTCCACCTTTAAAGATTATCCTAACTGTCGTTGCATGGCTCAGTGCCGACTTCACGTCTCTGTTTTGGTAGAGAGAGTGTAAGGGGTTAAATCCAACCCTGGGACACTGATCCACAAGCTGCATTCCTTCCTGCGTTCCAGGATTAGCATAGCCATGCTATATTATTAAACAAATTAAGAAATCTGTTCTAGATTTTTTTTATATCACAGAAATTTACTTTCTTGAAACTTACAAGGTGGCACTACCTAGCCAGCTCTGTTCTCAAAGAGCTAAGCAAAACCATGGTTACTCTTTGGATGGAAAGCTATCAGAACAACTCAGAAGATGACAATACAAAATAAATTACAGTGTACTGTTACCAACACTGTAAAGAGGGCAGGCATGGAAGTCTATACGAGACTTATGTCTTTATGTGATTTATGACCACAATTGAGCCCAACATTTTTATTGCTAAGTGAGACATTTGTTAAGTGAGTTTTGCCCTATTTACGACCTTTCTTGCCACAGTTGTTTAGTGAATTACTGCAGTTGTTAAGTAATACAGTTGTTAAGTGAATCTGGCTTCCCCATTGATTTTGTTTGTCAGAAGTTGCAAAAGGGGATCATGACCTCAGAACACAGCTTGTTGTTGTTAATTGCGAAGTCGTGTCCGACCCATCGCAACCCCATGGACAACGTTCCTCCAGGTCTTCCTGTCCTCTACCATCTTTTGGAGTTCATTTAAGTTCACACCTACTGCTTCAGTGACTCCATCCAGCCATCTCATTCTCTGTCGTCCCCTTCTTCTATTGCCCTCAATCTTTCCCAGCATTAGGCCCTTCTCCAGTGAGTCCTTCCTTCTCATTAGATGGCCAAAGTATTTGAGTTTCAACTTCAGGATCTGGCCTTCTAAAGAGCAGTCGGGGTTGATCTCTTCTAGGACTGACCGGTTTGAACGCCTTGCAGTCCAAGGGACTCGCAGGAGTCTTCTCCAGCACCATAGTTCAAAGGCCTCAATTCTTTGGCGCTCAGCCTTTCTTATGGTCCAACTTTCACAGCCATACATTGCAACTGGGAAAACCATGGCCTGGACTATACGCACTTTTGTTGGCAGGGTGATGTCTCTGCTTTTTAGTATGCTGTCTAGATTTGCCATAGCTTTCCACTGGAGAAGGAAATGGCAAACCACTCCAGTATCTTTGCCATGAAAACCCCATGGACAGAACACAGCAGTCATCATAAATATGAGTCAGCTGCCAAGCATCTGAATTTTGATCATGTAACCATGGGGATGCTGCAATGGTCTACTCATAAGGGTGAAAAACAGTCATGTCACTTTTTTCAGTGCTGTTGTAAGTCAAGGCTACCTGTAGAGCCAAAAAAATCAGGGGTAGTCTACTGGCAGACTAACAAGTCTTACTAAAAAGCAACTAACCTGTAACTCATAAAAGTTTTTGCCTTTTAATAACATTTGCCTGAAACGATACTACCAGACACCTACTGTTGCCAAGAAATCTATATGGCCAGACTCATGAATTTGGCAAGGAAGACTTTATATTTTCACAATTATCATCAAAATAATTTCTTTTGACCTGGAGCCAATTCATTGTTTCAGAAGAAAAGTTGCTGGTGGAATATTCTACATCAAGTCTCAGTTTAGTTGGCTGTAGAAAATAACATACTGTTATGTTATGGAAATAGCTTGTAACTTAAGGCCCCAGCAATGTAACTTTAAGTGGTCATGGATAATAAGCCTCTTAAGCAACTCTTGGATGTGTCATGAGTTTATTCCTTTGAGAAATTATCTAATTAAGTGTGCATTGTTAATGAAGTCAGTTTGTATGTAAAATCTGATTATGCTGCTTTACACCAAAATCAACTACTGTTAATCTGCTTTTCACTTTGTGTCTTAAGAGCTTATATCTAAGGATATTTACCCATGTTGTATGGCTGTATTACTATTATCTTTCTCAGCTTTTCTATTGCCTTTTCTTATTGATATCTTAGGATTATATTACTTTGTTGTTTATGTGTACACTGAGAGCTTTTCCACCAGAGACAAATTCCTTGTGTGTCCAATCACACATGGCCAATAAAGTATTCTATTCTATTACCACAAACTAATGCAATAAAAGAATCACCTTGCCTGCATGTGTCTCTTCCAGTTCTGGTTGGTTGAATTTAGAATGTATTTTAACTTCACGAAGACACCTACATTTTAATCCCTTTGGACAGCCTGATCCTAATCTGCCATTTCCTAAATGTGCTGGATTTTACATGATAGGTTCACATATTGTCATAAATCAGGGATTTGCTGTACACCGCAACACCCAAAAGAGCCATTGATCACATCTGCAAAACCTCTAGATCAAAATTGCCAGTTTAACTTTGATTTTTCATTTCATCAAGAAAGTGATTACTTATACAGTTGATAATACCTATGTCACAGCAAGCAGCAGCATCTAAGCTTACCTTGGTTTTCTTGGGAACTAAGCAGAGTTTGGCTTTTTAAAAATATTTGGATGGAGAGCCAAAGAATTTCAGAGCTCCTGGGAAATGGAAATATCATATTAGAGAAAACTAAAGCAAGTCATATATTTAAAGTTACCAGGAAAACTGGGATCAATACTTGACTTATGGCCTTCTTTATATATTTTCTCAGTGTAAGCTCAATTGAATAAACTTCCTTTTAAATAAATCTACATGGGGCTATATGAAAGGCCAGTAAACTTTAATTAATCAATTTTCTATCCTTCATTTAGCTGAGTTTCTTTTTAAACATCGGCTGAGATATTGGTGATCACATTGCCATAATTCCAGAGGATAGGACAAAACAAATGGGTGGAAACTTTACAGATCCAAATTCAAATAAGGAACAGTAGAACAACCTGCCTCCTGCAGTCATGGCTGTTCCATCACTGTATATTTTCAAGCAAAGGCTGGATAGCCATTTGTCTAAGATGGTTTAAGATTCCTGCCCTGAGTAGAAGTTGGATGAGAAGACCTTTAAAATCCCTTCCAACCAGGTCATTTTATGAACTTCTTAGCAGTCAAGTTTCTTTGTTCTTGGATGTCCAAATTCCTTTTATCGCACTGCTTCACTGCTCCAACATCCCTCCTGTCATAAGTACTTTTCATTAAAAACACAGGTTTTATTACAAGTTCTTTTCATGCAATGGTTCTGAGAAGCAGACCTTTTCCAAGCATTTATCAATATGTTGAGTGTTTTCATATAGTGGGAGAATAGTCCTGCACACACACAGTCATGCATGACAAGTACAGTACATGGGTTGGAAACACTGCAAAAAAGGTCTCTATTAATACTATGCTTTTCTCTCAAAAATCTGAGAGTCTGTGTGGAGGAAACAATATTCTGTTCCTTCATGAATATAGGGTAATTAATACTTTTCCCCCTCTACAGGAAAAGCCCGATAACAAGGTTTTTGTTTATATAGTTTATATTGATATGTACAAATATCAATAATATCTTATTGTCTTGACTTGAGCAGTAGGCACATTTATGGTTTTCTTTTGCACTGAAACCTATTTTATATTACACTGTATAAAAGCCATAGTATAATAGAAATGCCAAGCTTGATTCCCACAACACATGAAAGCTTCTGTTGGACTTTTCTGAAAGTTCTTTGTACAACCAGGAAAACTGAGAAGCTCTGAAAAGGATAACACAACCCGAAGGCTAAGATTCTCCACCTGCAAAATGCCACAATGCAAATTGCACTTGTTCTTAGTCACTTGCTCTTCTCTATACTAGCTGTCCAGAACACAGCCCACAGTGCAATCCTTTTGCTCTGAGGGGAATCCTATTGAGTTCAATAAAAATATTTATTGGTAAGCCTACTGATTATTGCTGCTTTAGTTTAGGTCTGCACTATACTTTGGGGAACCATTGATATTGTTTGCTCCTCTGCATAGCAAATGAAAACAATGTCAGCTATGAATGAAGGTGAATATACATGTCCCAGGATAATGTGGCAGGATCCAATCTGGGTCAGTCAGGGAACTTCAGAGAGAAGTTCCCTGGAAAAGGACTCCAGCATGAGTCCAAAAGCTTGGAAGACAAAATCTCTGATCCCGGTGACCGACCCAAATTGGATCCGGCAATACCAACTATTCCCATTTCAGTTTGTTTGCTTCCACATGAAGAGGGAAGCAGAGAAAATGGAGCACCAACATCTCCATCACTGAGCAGAAAATACAAGATGACATAGGGCAACGGACAGCTTCATGTCTCATCCCACTTCAATCTGACTGAAGCTCCTGAGGGAGAAAAGAAAAATGAGAATGCCACAAGCTATCTCACAGCGGCATCAACAAGCAAGCCCAGACACCAGCTTCCTTCAGCAGCTAAGAATAGAAGACCTCTGCTTTCAAAATAAAATGCCCAGACCTGTCTTTTCACGTGCTTTAAGCAGGCACTTTCAGGTATATTCAGCTGGAAGTGACCGCAGTGCATCCATGCCATTTTTGCAGGATGAACCAACTCCAAACTTTATTGCTTGATCCTCAAAAGCTACATTGCAGATCTACTTTCAAGCCCTTTCATTTATGTCACAAGAGCATCCCTTCATTTTTAACTTTTGATGTTATTTATAGCTTCAGCCAAATGCCAAACACATTTTAAAACAGCAAAAGGAATAAGGACTGTATGTAAGAGTGCACACATGCATACGCACACATAGAAAGAAAACATGCAAGTTGGGTTAGTATCTGGGACAGATGAGTCTGGAAAAAGTTGCAAAATTGGCCTATGTCTGGAAGGGTGGGATAAAATCAAAGTGCACTTCAAGAGCTATGCTGATAAACCAGAAATCAGAGTTAAGTGTCATTTTAATGTATCAGAGCTAAAAGAAGTTGTAATTTAAAGCAAAAGGAAAGATGCAGCAGAAAAGCATATCTTGGGGCAATCACCAAAATGAATCAGATAAATAAATACATTGCTAGAAATTTATGAAGAGTTTGCCTAACAGGAATGTGGATTTCAATGAATCATTGAAAAAAAGTGGAATAAGTTGGTGTGTATTGATAAATATTTCCCACTTATCTACTCATTTTTGCTTCAGAGTAGAAAATATGCAAATGTTTTGGTTATATTACATGACCAAAGAGCAAGTACTGTCCAGTAGTAGCCTATGAGCTATGTGGTCATCTCAAACTTACAGATACTGTTTCTCCATCAGCAGGAACTGAACCTATATTTTTCAATATATAAATGTATATAGGGTACTCTAGTCTAGAGTCTAGTCTAGTGACTAGTCCTTGCAGAATTGTTTCCTAAGCCTGTTGCCTCTAGATGGGGCTAAAGAGTCTTTGGCCAAATGACAATAGCAACTACATGAGCACCTATCCAGCTGTGTACAGAATGGTGTTTGCAAGAGGCCAGGAAAGGCTCTTTAATTCCCGATTATCCATCAAAGAGGGATACAATATAAGTTCCTCCTGGCACACCAATAGCCCTTCACAGGCCGTGAAACAACATCTGGGGCCAGAAGGCAGATCGGTTCCTTCTAGCTTATAAAGCAAAAGCAAATTATGAT